GGGGGGGGGGATTCTTTTCATTAACCACCAATGTAAACAGCATTCTCCCCACTGTCCCTGGATGTATAAATGCACTATATGGACCCCCAGTGTGGGTATTCCTCCTAATGACCACCAAGGTAACAACATTCTATTCAGCAACCACCAGCGTAAGGAGACCATCTCTCATTAACCACAAATGTGGTGCGCCTATTGTACCAAGATTTGTATACAGAATAATTTTTAGCAAGGGTTCAAAGCCATGTTTTGACTTTAGGTTTGCTTTAAAGTCGAGTTGTTTGTTTTTGAGAGTGTGGTTATAAACCTTCTGGATATGTATTGATATTTATAAGCCTTTTTCAGAGATTTCCTTTACTTCCTGTTCTAGTGATCATCAGAGGGAAATCTCCCAATTGGATCACAGATAGCCATTAATACAATACTAGAAGTTCTAAACCTTCCCTGCTTTACTAGAAAGTAGTGCTTTAAAAGAAAACTATGGGGTCAGTGTTTTTCCCCATAGTTCTCTTAGTCACGGGAGGACATATACTAACCTCCTCTCATGAGCTAAAGCTCAGTATATCACGAGCAACAGCTCGCGGTATACTGAGACCGCCGCAGCCGGGACGGATCCAGACAATGCTGTCGAGATCCACCCAGCTGCGTGAATGACAGCGGGCTCTGCCTATCTAGAGGCAGAGCCACCTGTGCACGTCTTCTCTGCCGTCCGTTCTTCCAGTCAGCGCTGAAGGATCGAAGCGGGGGGGGAATCCTTGCAGGGAGCCGTGAGTGACAGTCACGGCTCTCTGCAGGGAGATGATCGAGAAGTGTGTGAGCGACGGTATGTGTTTGCTCACTTCCCGACCTATTGAGCTGACGTGTAACAGTTTCATTGTCACACGTCGGCTCGAACTATGAGGATGAGTGATTTTCACTCACCTCATACTTCTCCTTTAATTGCTCCCTGCTAGCTGCTGAAGATATCCCCTCGCTTCCTAACCCGCTGAGCACAAAATAAGTGAATCTCTTCAAAGGAGATGCAGACAACAATAAAAGCTTGATGAGTTCTATTAAAATTTGGGGGAGTCCTAAACAGTGTAACCTGTATTTGGTACACTGTAGGAGACTCGCATAAACTATTTCACGGCACCAAATAAGATGTTTTCTCTCCTTTCTAAATGATTGTAGATACATGATGGATACTAATGGCGATGTATAGTGGCGTCGTCTCTTACCCCTCGTCTCTTGATGGCATCTCTTAGCAGCCCAACCACATTGTTTCCCTCTGCTCCTGACGCTTTAAAACCTTTGGTCCAGTTCAGAAGTATGCCCTGCATAGAAATAATGGTTATTATCATGAGCAATGAGCCAATGTTAGTGTGTCTTTACTCTGAACCTTTTATAGCCCCTTACAAAATAAAATAAAAAAAATAAAAAATCAGCTTTTGCTGCAATATTCAGCTTTAAGGGAGAGATTTCCTTTGCAGTCCTATTTCTGCCGCTAAATTTCTGTAGTCTGATAGCCAGCATAATTTAACACACTTCGTCTGAGCTCAGGTTTCCGTAGACCTGTCCCAGCCTGTGACTGGACAGTGAAAGGAGAAGCAGCAATTGATGAGCTATTCTATCAGCATACTCCTTGTCATCACATCAACTGATTGGACCCTTGTACTGCTTGTTCCTCTCACACTCCAACCATGCTTTACAGGCAATGCTGAGGCTTATACCAGGTCAACTTCAGGAACTTACACTGCTTGCCTTCAAAATAACACATATAATGATGTATTAATGATCTCAGACCTGAATTAATGTCACTTATATCTGTCTTTGGGACTTCAAAAGTGTAGCTTACAAAAATTCCTCCAAATTTAGCATCCTAAAGATCTGCAGGATGCATCCCAGGGACACACTTGGGGTTTGAGCCAACTATACAAGTGCGCCCTTTGCTCCTTTCAATGTTTTGTTGAATAAGCCCATCCATGCATCCTGTGCACACTGCAGTGGTTCTGTTATATTAGGTTATTGCCCCATTCTAGTTGCATTACCTTGTCAATGTCTTCATGTCTAACAGGAAAGGAGAAGGTAAATCCCAGCGGGAGCTTCTTGTGCTTCATGTTCTGCTGGTCCAGGTAATCAGAGATACATTCAGCAATGTAATCAAACAGCTGGGGAGAGAGAGAACGGTCAGTATAAGAATCATGGATCTATCTGGAACCAGGAACCAGTAACATTGAATGCTTTCTATAGAAGAAAGTTATTTTAGAAACTTCCATCTATAAGCACCCAATGTCCATCTATTTGCTGGTTACTGCCACTGGCATTGTCATCCATTCTTTCATATCATGGCCATAGGTGGGAGCATTCCCTATATGTTTATCATTTATTTTTACATTACTGAGAAGGAGAAATCACCATCTGTACTCCATACGATGATCAGACTTTGTATTAGTTGGGTTCTGCAAAGACCAAAATGGACAGCACTTTTTTTGGAGATACAAGACAAGAAATTGACCAACAAGAGCTTTTTTATCTAGTGGCAGTACAAGACGTGGAATGATTCGGGGCTGCGCAGCATCCATACAACAGTTGCTCTGCATGTTGCGTTGTGCTGCATTTTTTTCATGCATTGAAGTGAGTTGATAGCCCATTCAAAATGAACAGGCCCACAAGACACCTCACATAGCTGCTACTCTTTTATTTGTAGCACACAGCTATGCACACAGCACACGTGCACTGGAAGAGTGTATCAGCATGCTTTGTAGTAACCTACATTACTGTATGAGCTGTGGGGTGCAGGGGCCAATAATGTGTCTGAAAATAGGAATTCTCTGTGTCACATCACAGTAACTGATCACATTCAAACCGGAGCTAGAAATGAAAGTTAAACACAGAAATGCTAAAAAGGGAGCTGAAATGATAAAAAGTATTTATGCTCTTTAGCTACATTTAGTGGCCATAATGTGGTATTTAACTGCTATTACATTCGAAATTATACCAAACTCAGGTGGTAAATCTTAAAAATGTATTTAAGTTCCTTAATTTTAACAAAAATGTATCATCTTTGTGTATTACTCGGCTATAGATCCTGAAATCATCTCTGAATTGGTGCTGACACTGTCCTTCCTTCTGGAGGGGGGCTACTTTTGTTCCCCATGGTCCCTGTGTGTGTTGTAAAGTAGTCACCACTCCAAGCTCGCTATTGTGATGGACTACAATCTCAATACAAATTAGCAAACTAAACATGAGATTATAGTCCATCACAGGAGTGAGCTTGGAGCGGTGACTACTTTACAACACACACAGGGACCATGGGGAATAAAAGTAGCCACCCACTAGAAGGAAGGACAGCGTCAGCACCAATTCAGATTTGAGGATCTACAGCCGAGTGATACACAAATAAGATACATTTTTGTTAATAGTGAATGCATTTTTAGGGTTGTAACTCCTGAGTTTAGTTTTAATATCACTTTTTATTGAGTTACAGCAGTATTTAAAGTTTATATAAACCCTTGGTTCTCAACTGGTGGGTCGTGACCCAAAAGTGGGTCGCGACCCCGTGTTCAATGGGTCGCCGTGTGCCTTCCACTTTTCTAGGTGAGAGGCTCAGTGTTTTGAGGCCCTCTTCACACTAGTACAGTGCAATTAACGCAATGTACCAATCAATTGCACCTACCGTGCATTCTGGTGCCATTCATTTGATAGGTACCCCAAACGCACCTCCCACCCACAGTTCGTAAGCCCAGTACCCTAATGCCGTGCAAATGATTATATATATACCCCTAGTTGAAAAAAGTTTTGTCTTTGTCCCCACTAGAAATATTTTCTATTGGTTTCCTCTAGGGACAGAAAATTTAGAGACATGTCTCCAATGGGGACAAACGGCAACAAATCACTTCTCACCATCTTTGCAGTTCCTGTCATCGCATCCTCAGGAATCGAATACATTTTGTGCTTTGTGTCTACTTTCCACAGTCCATCCAGATCCTCTCCGACTTTCACCAGCATCACACGGAAATTTGTGCCACCGAGATCCAAGGCCAGAAAGTCACCAACCTCTAGACGAATCAACCAAAGACAAAGTTGCAATAATATGCACAATTCAATTAAGCAATATGATACGCCAAGAAGTTAGCACCAAAAAATTTGTTGAATGCAAGTGATCGAGAACAACTTAAAATGTTTTGTGTGTTTTGTGCAAGCAGCAATTAAATTTTTTATGTAAATGAGAAACATGTAACAAACATAAAATAGGTGTTATCCTAAGTAAAGTGGAAATACAGTTTAAGCAAACCAGGTCTAGCTCTAGTGAGCGAACCCTTAAGGTGGATTTCCACTTTTACTGTCAAATTTGAGAAAACCCCTCTATATGTTTGTTATGTGTTCCCATTCACACAGCATACCTAAAAATTAGGGATGCACCGATACCGATACTAGTATCGGTATCGGTGCCGATACCGAGTATTTGGGTGAGTACTCATACTCGCCCAAATGCTCCGATACCTAGCACGAGTACTTCCTGTATCAGGAAGCCAGGCAGCGCATCATTACACGCTGCCCGATTTCCTGATTGGCCAGGAAACGGCTCCATGCTCTCTCGTCACTTGTGATGAGAGAGCATGGAGCCGACTTCCCGGCCAATCAGGAAGCCGGGTAGCGTGCAATGACGCGCTGCCCGGCTTCCCGATCGGACAGGAAGCTAGCAAATCCGGAAGCCAGGCGCCGTGTAATGACGCAGCGCCCGGCATTCTGATTGGCCGGGAAGCCGGCGTCATGCTCCCTCATCATCTCATGAATCATAATATTAAGAAAGTAACCTTAAAGCATTAGTTTGTATTGCTTTAGAAATAATGTGACCTGTCCCTTTAAGAAAAAGTATCGGTAATTGGTATCTGCGAGTACTACTAAAAAAGTGGTATCGATGCATCCCTACTAAAAATATTTTTAAAACTATATTTCTTACACTTTAGTTGTTTCTTTGGTGAAGGCCTTTGTGCCCGCTGAGCAGTTTCAGAGGGAAACTAGAGGGACAAACTGAGGGACAGTTTGAGCTTCCTCTCATTAATACACAATGCCTCAAAGGTTTTAACTCTTTGTTAGGACAGAGAAATCTAGTTTACAGCTGATAATGAAGTCTGAGTTGAGTTATTCAACCTGCAGCTGTGTATTGAACTGAGTATTCTGAAGTATTAGCAGAAAACAGAAATCCAGAAATACCTTGTTACCTCCATATAAAACTGCCATGTTCCTGAAAGGGTGGAAGGGAGGTAATCTTACTCATCCTTGTTCCACATTTTCTCAAATTGTCCTTTAATATGACTTATATTTAAAGTGTAACTGCACCTTTGGCCACTACTTCCCCATCTCACCACCTATACTCACACATCCCCTTGTAAAGTATTCCTAGTTGGGGCATACATGTGCCCTTTGCACTCCCATTCATTCTATGGACCTTATAGTACATGCTGATGGCCTACAATATAGGGATATAATGGATAGGGTCAGATTTATTTTTAAAAGTTTATTAATCTGATGTTTTATATCTATTTATTATTTGTAGGTACGCACAGATACCGGTTTTTCGGTATTGAATATGAGTATTGATATTTTTTTCGGCCCCGATTAGCAAGGATTAGCAAGAAAGCCGTCACCAAGTGACGAGGGAGCATGGAGCCGGCTTTCTACCCAATCAGAAAGCCGGGCGCTGTGTAATGATTCGTTGCCCGGCTTCCTGATTGGTCAAAGCTGGCCAATCAGGGAGCCAGACAACACGTCATTACACGGCGCCCTGGCTTCGTGATTGGCCGGGAAGCTGGCTCCATGCTCCCTCTTCACCAGAAAGCCGGGGGCTGGGTATTGACTCGCCGTCCGGCTTCCTAATTGGTCGGCTTCCCGACCAATCAGGAAGCTAGGCAGTGCATCATTACATGCTGCCCGTCTTCCTGATTGGCCCATAGAGCCGCCTGCCCAGCCAATCAGGAAGCCGTGCAGCGTGTAATGACTTGCTGCCCAGCTTCCTGATACCGGAAGCTCAGGTATAGGGCTAGGCATTGGAGCCTTTGGGCGAGTACGAGTATATAACACATAACACATATAGGGTGCTCCCATGGCACTGGTTCTGCCGAGCATTCTGAGAGATCACAGCATTAAGTTCTCACTTTTAAATTGTCTTTTAGTCATGGTCACTAAAACTTCATACAGACCTGGTATTGCTTTATAGAACAGGGAGAGATTATTGATTCCACGGGCGAGTGCAATTTGACCATCAGCTATTTAGCTCTGTACACAATATTTTTATTATTTTTAGCAAAGCAGGTAACTTTAGCCTGGTAAACATGGTAAAAGGTCTACCTACTGGCTGCAAACAGTAACTAGTTTACTGTTTTACAATTTATTAGTTGCCTAAATAAAGAAAATTAAAAATATATATATTTGTTACAAATAAAGGAACAAAGTGCATACAAGAACAATATGCATTCCCTTTTTCACGTACAGTGGCGCTTTACCCCCTTTGGCTAAGAATCACATCAGCATACAGCTCTGCACGCTGATATGAAATCATCTCACATTCATTACTTAAACAAACCTTTATTTTATTTTACATACAATTTCTTTTTTTTCCCGTTCCTGGCCCTTTTTGGCACAAATGAAATACTCCAGCCCAAGCATTGCATTCTGGGAAGGTTACATCAGCAGAGCATTGCTGGGAAATCTCATCTGTAATCTCGTGAGATCTCAGGGAAAGGCATTTTCCTCCCCTGAGATGATGGTCACATGTCCTAGTCACATGTTCCAGGAAGTAAATTTAGATATAGTAACCTGCCCCTAGTTAAAATTGCCAATGTGAGAACAAAAAGCCGGCAATTATCTAGAAGTATGTGTTTGTATATTGTCGTTACTAAACATTTCTAAAGGTGTGTTTGCTGTTATTTTGAAGATATGGGGAAATGTCCGCTTTATCGTACATAGTGCGGCTGAACAGTAACATAAGGCAGCCGGTGCTATATAGCAACCGACAACTATTCTGTATTCCAGTGTTTACAAACTGCTCATGCAGCGACAGCCATTAACCTGTGACATTGTATAACCTCAATTACTGGCTGCGGTCCCACCGCACAGCAGCCGGGCACATTTCTCATCAGTAAATAAAAGATTTGTAAAGAAGAAAGAGAGAGGACAGGAATCATTAGGGCGCTGTGCTGGGGGGTGAAGGACACAGGCAGAAGTGCAGTCACTGTTTGCACAAGACCAGTGTTTGTTTTCACAGTGGTGACGAGCACTGTGCCCAGTCACTGGCTAATGAGCATATCATTCTTTAGCGCTAAAGTCCACAAAATAACGTGAGATGATTGACGCTTCCATGTATTATGAAAACCTCATGATGTCCCGTACATTAACCTACGGTACTTGCCAAATTAATAAAGTAACTCCATTTTTGTTGAAAAAAATCATTCCTCTCTGGGTGATCAATGTCCATTGGAAGGATTTTAATAAACTTTGCTGCAGACTCCGACCTGTTACTCTTCTGAAGAAATAGCAGCTGGTTGCAACATGTACTTTCCAAACTGATCCCTGAATAGGAGGCTCTGGGTTTGTTATAATCAGCTAGTGAACTTTCCGTGTTGTAATAGGAACGTTGCAGTGTCAGCATCCGTTTAGGAGTAATTAACCCTTAAAGAGTATCTTAAAAAAACGGAATATCTTTTGTAAGGGACACCTCAAATTTTACTTAGTGCAGACTTCTGGGAAAATCAAAAGGCTAATCACAGAAGAAGCAGGTAGTGACATTTAGGGGGGGGGGGAGGGGGGGCTCTGCATACCAACTATGTTCAGAAGAACACCTCCAAGTTGCCATATTGAATTTTATAGAAAATGACTACTGTTTTAAAAGAAACGGTCATTTTTAATAACACTAAAGTGTATCCAAACCCAAAAAACAAAAATGGAATATTTCACAGTTTACTAATCCTCAGATGTTGTGGCTGAATAGTTAACATTTGTTTTCTTTATTTTCACCTGGCGATGCGGCCAGTAACACACTTCCTGGCCTATGGAGGTGCAATGGAGCTACCCTTGAACAGCAGCACTGTCACCCCGTGGGGAGGGTAGTGTTAGATGGATTAACAGATTTAGATGGACATGACTAACAAATGAATGCCGCACTCCAGCTAACACCTTTTTTTAGGTAGTTACAGCAACAGTTTTTTTCCCCTTTTGGGATAAAGGTTTTAAATAAATGAATAGAAGCAGACCACGTAGACGCAACAGGAATTGAGTAAATCTCCACAAAGTGAGAGAAAATCATATCCTAGAAAATTGTTGCTGCTTCCACGGATCCTGTTCAAAGATGGAGGCAAGAAATGAAAAGGAAAATAGGAAAATGGCAGAAAATAGGAGATTCTAAGATTACTGTAAGGCCTGACTTATTAAAGTGTAACAATCCTCTTATAGTCAGTTACATAAACCTCCCAGCTTTCTGAGGTGAGAAAGAGAGACACCTTCCGTCACAATGTATTTAGGCAATGGACACACCACTGCTGCACCACCAGTTATTGGGACCATTAAGAATTCATATGCCAGAAAAGGATTGGTTAAACCCAGAATTATTTTAACCATTACATTTCCTTTATAGCGGCTTTTTGAAATAGCAAACATTCACTATGAAATAAAAGTTTTAGTGCAGAATAACACTTTTGGTAGATAAATAGAACCTTTTTATAGATATCTATACAGTAAATCGGATCAAAAAGAGAGACAACTGAGGAGAAAAGAGGGACAGAGGAAAGTCCTTCTTGGGAGGTATGGTTACATACTGTACATTGCATGGATTTTAATCAACTTAGTTGCTTACTCCCACAGCCATTTGTATTAGAAGTCACATGTGGATTCCACTCACTTCCTTCCTCTGTAGCCACTTCCTACTTTCTAAGTTCCTTTAGCTTGTGATTACAGCACACATTCGACGTGGCATTATTTCGATAGGTTTATGCAATGTCACAGCATTCTTTTCCATCCAGAGTAGCATTAAGACCTTTGCAGTGACGATGGGACCACTGCGTAAAGTCTTCTCCAGCAAATCCCAAAGATTCTCAGTGGGGTTAAGGTCTGGACTCTGGTGGCCAATCCATGTGTGACAATGATATCTCATGCTCTCTGAACCACTCTTTCACAATCTGAACCCGATGAATCCTGACATTGCCATCTTGGAATATGCCAAATGTGCCATCAGGGAAGAAAAAATCAATTAATGTAAAAACCTGGTTATTCAGTATATTCAAGTCGGCAGCCGACCTCATTTTTTGGGGAACATAACTTTGCTGAACCTAGACCTATTATCCAATGACAGGCTTTGACCTATTTGCTTAGCTAAATCCAGGTGATGACGTCTTTGGGCCAGGCAGTGTACATGAAGTTTTCCTGTTAAATTGATTAACTCCACCTAGAAGTAGACTTGTCCTGGGTACCACATCGTTATTATTAGTATCATTTTCAATATCACAGAATTTCTCTGGGCCTATTTATTGAAAATAGCAATGCACTGTACCGCTTTGTTACCTACCTTATGGTACAGTTACACATCTTTTTTAGCTTGCTCCCCCCTCTCCCCTTAAAGTTTTAATATAAGCTGTACCCAATCCAGTGAGACATTGTTGACAATGCTACATAACAGCCTTTTATAGGTGCAGTTATACTCTAACAGGCATCTAGATTTTGAATTAGTTTGGTTACGATTATTTCAAATTAGTTTAGATCATACGTAGAGCCACGGCACTGAAAGATGATTGGTTGGTGTAGGTTCCTTCTTTCTCTTATTAAATGGGCATCACATTTAAACGGTATACGTTTCAAATAACAGTTCATATAAAAGAGGTTTTAGTAGAATTGATTGATGTAAAAATTTTGCAGATTATTAGGATAAAACATATGTAAAATTAAGGTGTAGTACCCTGAGGATATGTTGTTACGAAGTAGCTAGAATAGCTATTGCTAGAACCTGACATAAGCCTTTGGTACCTCTAGACCCTTGGTTCTCAAGTGGTGGGTCGTGACCCAAAAGTGGGTCGCGACCCTGTGTTCAGTGGGTTGCCGCTTGCCTTCCAATTTTCAAGGTGAGAGTCTCCTCTGCCTCACCCAAGCTTAACACTGTCAGTTCTCGCACCGAGCAGCCATTCAAAATATGCTGCCCAAGTGTCAGCTTGAGGTGGGGTGGGGTGGGCTGGGGTTATGGCCGTGAGGGAGCTCTATTCATACGTGCATTCTCTACAGCACCCTTGCGTGTCCTGTAGAGGTGCCTGGAGCGGAGTGATGTCACATTTTGGCTCCTGGCACTTCTACAGGTGATGCAAATATGGATGGCGCTCCGTCACAGCGCATTCTGGTGTGGGAGCGCATTGCCATTTATTTGAATGGCATCCCAAGTGCATCTCCCACCCACAGTTTTATCGCCCATCGGAACGCGAGGTGACACATGCCGTGCATTCCATTGCAGTTCAACTTGGGTCGTGACTTAATGACCAAGGACAAATGTGGGTCCTGAGGTTACACCGGTTGAGAACCACTGCTCTAGACTAACTTAAACACACATTGAACTAGATCATAGTCAACAACAAGTTGACAATCATACTACATAATAATCAAACTAAATTTGGACCCAGTTGCGATCCATGGACCCGCTATAATTGCTCCATGCAACTCCAGATGTGAAGACCTCATGCACGCTTTCTTTCTTTTTCTTTTTCCAGTCACTCTTATTTCCTCTCTCTTTTATAGTTTCCTATTTTCTTTACCATTTCTGTTTATAGTTAGAACATTATCTTTGCAGATGGGGTTTTGCACCCTGTCCCCTTTACTTACAGTATGAAATGGCTGATGGTAACTGCTGCTATACTAAACGGCTTTAGATCTCTACCAGTTCTTATCATCTCTGTTATTTGATTGGGACTTATGTAGGTGTTTCTTTATGTAGTGTGGGGACAACCCATGGATATTAGCAGAGTTATAACAGTCAGTTGAACTACTGATCACCAGAGTATATAGGACTTTTTTTTTTTTTTACTATCAGCTGTTTATATCTTTATTGGATGGTTTAATGATGTGTAAAGCAAACATAGGAAGTGTCTGCAAGAAGATTGCTATCAAAACCACCCTCTATAAATTGAACTGCTACATTGTAAAACTTTTGTTGAAACATAAAAACAATGCAAACTAAAATGAAGGTGTAGGGCAAGTAGTTTTCCAACACAAAGTTGACTTCCTGTACTGTGAACAATTAGAAGAAAATGACCACGGATCTTGTTGGTGCCATTTTTTGCCTGATATGGCAGCTATTGATAGTCTGCACAGAAAAGGTCCCTATACATCAAATAAAGACATCAAAAAGTGGCACTTGTATGTGTATAGTTGGGAATGTTATAAGGAAGATTTACAGGGTTATTTACTAAAGGGTGAAGAGTGTGGAGAAGGCAGGAGAAGGGAACAATCTAGCAAAATTCTCCAATTCAGCTCACTTTCCAGTTCACCTATGTTGTCCTAGATTGTTCACTTCTCCTGCCTTCTCCAAACACTTCACCCCTTTGTGAATAACACTGTTAGTGCTCCTAAAAATAAAAGTAATTGTACATGATACATACATGCTGATGTGTATGCATTGAAATTGACATGCAGCCTCTGTGTGTGGCACTACCCTAGGTTTCTCACCAGAGCCATCAGGTGTAGATCGTACGTAAGTAGGCAGCATTTTCACACTAGCTTCTTCATTGGTCTCCAGGTGAAGACCTCGATCCATCTCTGCCTGCAACCTGTCCAACAATACCTGCAGGTCTTCTTCGTGAAGCTGGAACTCTGCCAGCATCTGCTCCACCTAAAATAGAAAAACAAAACATTAAAATGCAAAATTACATTTAAAGTGACAGTAAACCCAGGAGTTAAATCTTAAAAATACATCCAAGTACCTTAACTATTCACAAAAATGTATCTTATTTGTGTATCACTCGGCTGTAGATCCTCAAATCATCTCTGAATTGGTGCCGACACTGTCCTTCCTTCTGGAGGGGGGCTACTTTTGTTCTCCATGGTTCCTGTGTGTGTTGTAAAGTAGTCACCGCTCCAAGCTCGCTCCTGTGATGGACTACAATCTCATGTTTCGTTTACTAAATAGTATTGAGATTGTAGTCCATCATGGACGCGAGCTTGGAACGGTGACTACTTTACAACACACGCAGAAGAAGTTATGTTCACACATCCCTTTTTAGGAAATGGCAATACGAAAGTTCTCCCCCTTATTCACTGTGTATGTAATGCCATGGCATGAGCTGTGGTACTATTGCATGACCATCCACAGCTAGAGGTGTGGTGCATGCTGGGAAATTCTCCATTGTCTATGTTAGACTCTTGCTAGTACCATTAGCCTTCTCAGTGCCAGAAATGTGCTGCTATGATTCCTAATATTTTTGTCTGGCTATGACTATAACTTAACACCTAGGGGTATATACTGTAACTGTTCACAGAGATTATAGATTTGTACTGTATTATGGCCACTAGATGGAACCGAGAAGCATATTAATTTCTTATGCTCCTCAGTTCCATCTAGTGGTCATAATGCAATAATCTACAATATAGATATTTGCAGAGCAAACAACTCTGCAAACATTTTATAATTACATCCCATACTGTAACATGGGTTTAGTTATACGTTCTGTCTGATGAGGCCTAGTATTAAAGTATATGTAAAACCAATTAACAAAAGCCTTATATACGCTTTACCATTTTACAGCTCATTTTCAATATTTTTCAAACGGTAGCTTTAGTTAAAATAATTCGAGTTGATCCTGCCATGAAGGTCCATGTTTGTTTAGGGACTTCCTGTTATTAGGTGACAGCACCCTGTCCCCATCGCCCAGTTGTGCTCCTGCACATCAATGTCACAGGGGCTTCTGATGGGGACCCCAAATGGCAATTTCAACACACATTACAGAGGCACAGTCCACTTTCATCAACATCAGGTACCCCTCTGAAAAATGCCATGCAGCCATCGCCAGAATGCATGTAGAACAAAAGGGGTAGATTTACTAAAGGCAAATAGAACTTTAATTTTGCAAGGGAATTTTCTGCTACCTTACTTTTGCTTTGCATTAGTCAGTTTGCAAAGATTGCCCAATCACGTGCAAGAAAAAAAAACCCACTGTATGTTTTGCTTGCACATGATTGGATGATGGAAATCAGCAGAGCTTCACCTCATTCACTAAGCTAAGTGAAAATTCCCCCGTAAAGTAAACAGCCTGTTTGCCTTTAGTAAATCATCCCCAAAGTGGCTTCAAAGAGACAGCAGGAGATCAGCAGCAGGATGTAACAAAGAATTGAAAAAAGCTGGAAACATATATTATAATAGAAAAAGGCAATTATTTATGATACAAATTGATGTAGCAAGCCAAAAGTGATTTAGTTAGGGTTTACATATATGAGCTGACAAATCCTCTAACAGAACTAAAGACGGATGCAAGGTGAAGGTTATATATTTTTTCATGACACTCCCACTTGTCTGGGCTCTATTGACACAGCACAGTATGCAAACACATTGGCTAGAAGAATAGCTGACACATCGCCATACTGTTCCCGTATACTGTATAGTGTAAATGCATACAAGAAATTAAATTTTTTATGGTGGAAAGGGCAATGTGCAATCTCCCATTGCAATCAGAAATCACCTTCTTTTCATCTTTTGCTGTGCAATACTGTAGGACATCACTCCTTACAGAAAGAGGCTGATATATCAAAAATACAAAAGTTGCCAAAAGGACAAGTCATATCAGAGAAATTAAATCTAATGTGTGATTGGCAGCTGTTGGCAAGATCGCCACTCATATGCTTCACCAGTGTATGGGCCACTATGGGGCAGAGTATGAAAGTGAAAATATTGTACTTACGTTACAAAGCGTATACCTTACAGTCAGGTGTTAAGAGGACTCATGTTCAATACTCATATCAGTGAGTATTGTGTTCACAGCTCATATCAAACCTTAGGAAGTCCTTAACTAAACCTAGCCTAAAACATTTCAAAGGCAACAACAGAGCTAGCATGGAGCCTGTATGTACATACTGCATGTCTATCTTCAAACTGAGCCCTGTGTCCCTCTGGACTGGAGTCCCTGCAAGTCAGTGTTCAAATTGAACCCTGTGGAGCCCCCGCATATATATTTTCAAATTGAATCCTGTGTTCCTGTGGAGCCCCCGCATATCAATCTTCAAATTGAATCCCCTGTCCCTGTGGAGTCGGTCTTCAAATTGAAGCCTGTGTCCCTGTGGAGTCCCAGCAAGTCGGTCTTCAAATTGAATCCTGTGCCCCTGTGGAACCCCTGCAACTCAAACCTTAAATTGAAGCCTTTCTCTCCATGGAGCCCCTGCAAGTCAGTATTTAAGCTGAGTCCTGAGTCCTTGTGCAGCCCTTTCAAGTCAGTCTTCAAATTGAAGCCAGTGTCCCTGTGGACCCCCTGCATATTAGTCTTCAGGCTGAACCCTGTGCCCCTGTGGAGCTTCATGATTCTTAGGTTCAGGCCAGTCAAGGAGCCTCAACTTCTGTCCAAGTGGATATTAAACCCAGTCTGGTGTTATTCAACTGTCAGTATTTGTAGGGCCACACACCAATATAATGCCCAAAACCAGCATTTGTTTCTCATCAGCAATGAAGCTGAGTATACAAAATCAGCACTGAGAACATCTTGTGTGACTATAAAATATCTCTTTTTATTAAACATACATAGTAAATTCATGATTGTAAGTAATAAAGCTACCTGTTGAGTTGTGCAAGACCCTTTATTTATTAAGGTGAAATGTCAACGTAATTGTGGTTGTCATCTAGATTTACCACTCTTCCGTATTCATATCTCATCTTCATAAGAAGTCCTTGGTGTAGATTTCATATACAGGACTGTCACTGAATTGTCAAATTCCAGAATTGCAGTGGGCAGTGGAGGGTCTGGTATTTGACAGTTAAATGACAAAGGGGAGCTAATCACAGTAAGAGGTGGGGCTTTCCTCTGACTTGTTTTATTTTATTACCCATGTACAATTCCTAAATGTCCATGGTGCTGAGCAAAAAATTGGTGTTCAGTTTTGGGACAAAAGTAACCTAAATCCTTGTCCACTGTCTTGAGATACATTTATAGGGTTCCCTATCCCTTCTGAAGAATTCTGGTACTTTTAGCAAAGTGATAGCCAATCATCCTCTTCTCCTTACTACAGTCGGTCTCAGATCATAGGAGATAGATAACATATAGCTAAAGCACCGTCTACAGAACCAAATGGAGCAGAGGAGGTTTGACAACTGCGCCAATAAAGTGGTTGTCATAAGAGAACCTGCAGCAGTGTCAAAGGCAAACCTTAAGAGAGAAATCTGTTTTCTGGGTGAGCTGTTTAAAAAGCATAAATAAGTGATTTCTTCATATTCAAGTTTCACTTCAACTAAAACGAATGTTTCAGTTTGGGTAGATCTTGGCCGGCAAACTCACCCACGGGTTTTCAATGGGGCCCCAGCAATAACATTTGAACACATCCATCATGAAGGTGTCTATTGTTCCCATTTTAATTTGATGCAGAAGATAAAGGTATATGTGAAACTCTTTCTGCCATTAATTCAAATCTAATTGGATAATATGAATAACTGCAATTTGCACAAATCATCAAATAAACACTTACCCAACCTAGCTTACTACCATTCTAAAGCACATCACCCCTACCCCCCAGAAATATCCCAATTTGGTATATTGCTATTTCATGTAATTAACTACCAAATATCATTAACATTTGCTGTAGAGATCTTCAATAAAGGGGCCAGAGATGCTGATGGACGTCATTGTAAAATATGGTCATCATGACTATACTCCACCGAGTATGAGCGATAGCTGATCGCCAGCATAGGTCGTCACGTTTGTGACAGCGGGTGGTTGTGGGTTGTTCACCGTGATTGGCAATTCATCAGAATCACTGAAAGACATGATTGACATTGAATCTACATCATGTGACTTTTTGGGGGGAGTTTTAAATAAAGGACTTTTTCTATGGCGTCTTTTATTTACTTTGCATTTTTGTTCATGAATGAGTAACCAGGGGTACTAAATACTCCTTACTTATTCATGTAGGGGGGAACTGGATATCTGGGACTCCCTTATGTTAAAGGAGGCTTCCAGATTACAATAGAGGGGCTTTCTACATGCCAATATGTTCCCCCTCAGACCTCCACATTTTCTGGGCCACGGATGTTGGTATGAGGTCCTTGTCCCCATCAACATGGCACATATCATCTTGCCACGTGTTGCTAACCCACCCCCCCCTTCCTTCCTTCCCTTCCTTTTACCAGACTGCATGCTTGAATAAGGGTCATGTATAGTTTTTGCTGCGTTTTCATTGTGCAGTGTTCCCCAGTAAAATGCATGCCAGACCTCATCAAGGATAAGGGTCTATTATGGATCTTTGGGGGTAAACCCACACCGTTTTTTTACTATCAAAACAAAGTACTGTATATACTCGAGTATAAGCCGAGTTTTTCAGCCCATTTTTTGTGCTGAAAAATGCCCCCCTCGGCTTATACTCGAGTCAGCGTCTCGAGTACTGAGCAAAGTGAGTACGCTGGTCAGGTTTCTTCTTACTTATCTCGCCGAGCGTCGCGTCACTGCTGCTCCGGTGGGCGGCGCTCCGAGCGGGGTCATCTGGCAGTCTCCGGGTCCTAATTTAGGTGGCCGGAAAGGTACCTCGGCTTATATTCGGGTCGGCTTATACTCGAGTATATACGGTAGCCGATAAATGTCATTTATCAGCAAATTGAATTTTTTAATTTTGTTGTAAATTTTGCTGTAGTACATCTTACATGTCCGTCACTCAGGGCTTTCCCTATAATGATGTAGCCTAAGACGGTTGGGGGGTGACCGGGTGGTAGTGGTGATGGCATGGGGGTTGGCCACAGCCTCCTAAGTTGCTAAGAGCTCTTAGCAAGCTGTGACGCTCTGTGCGGCTTTCTGCCCAGCTCACTGACATCAGCAGTTGCCCGAAGCTAAGTGGGACACTCTGGCTTGCATCCCGCCAAGCTCCTGGCAACCTGTGACGTCAGTGAGCTGGGTGGGACAATGAATGGAGCCACTTACAGCGCAGTGCTGCATCAGCTCCTCCAAACCACCCCACCTCAAATGAAACTTAGCACAACATTACCCCTTCCCCCTGGAAGGGGCCATTACCTGCCAGCACCCCCACCCCCCCGGGACCAACATTGAGGCAGCAAATACCATAGGGACAGCCCTAGCGCCATGTCACATGAAGGTTTAAGGCATCTACCAAGAATGTTAATTAAAGTAATTGTTTATTTTTAATGTTGCCCTTTGAAGCCTTTCTGCCTTCCCATGGGAGTGTCCAGCTACCCATGCCCTTTTTTTTTTCAAAAGCCTGTAAATTGGCCTTCAAAAGTCCCGTAAAAAAAATAACAATATTCAATTCCCACAGACTTCAGTGTGTTTGGGTGCTACGATTGAGGTTCATAAATTTTTTTGTCAATTGTATGGCAAACGTCCAGCAAATCAAACATTGCTCAGTCTGCTCATCACTAGTCTGGAGGCAGGAGGGGGAGGGCCAGGTTAATATAAATAAATAATTGGGATTTTTTAAATAGCGGAGGGGGGAGGCTTGCAGTACGTTTTTTGGGGTGAAAGTCCGCTTTAAAGAAAACTGTATACAGTGAGTTAAGCTGCCAAACATACTGAAAAAATATTTAGGTTTGCATACATTTTAACTAACTAAATACTTAAAATAAGCTTTAAAAGACACATGTATTGTCTGATTACTTTATAATAGCACAGCCAGACATTGAGGAGTAACCCACCTGGTACTATATATACACCTGGTACTATATATACACACACCTGGTACTATATACACACCTGGTATTATACAAGTTATATCAAATATGCAAAAGGATCCAACATCATACACCTCACAGAGTATTGTTCAACTACCCTTCCCATCCCATCCCTTCCCAATCTTTTCTGAAAACTTACATCGGGATGCATTTTGTGTTCCATGTCTTCCAGGCAGAGAGGTAAACCAGGATATGGAGGTGTGTGACAATGTTACCTTGTCACCAGTTTCCAATGTGGATACAATGTAGCTCTTCTTATCAGAGGTTTGCACTATGTAAGCTGCATACAAAGTGCTGGTAGTAACTCACACTAATCAGTCCATCCAGAAAGTATCAGTTGAACCCTGTTCATTTAATATCCATGGTGTGACTGTGTCTAATATATATTGTGTATCTCCGGTGTCACTCTTCTCAGCGTTGTCTCTTCTACTGCAAAGTGCCAACCAGTCACCACTAGTTGTGAGTAGCCCACAGTTCAACTTGATAAATAATCAATGTATGATGTTGCTTCAAGGGCAGAAGAGATGGGAGGGAGGAGAAAAAAAGTCATCAGGAGTCAGATCTTTGGAGAAAAATTCTACCCAGTGACAATAAATAGAGTAGTGAATGTCGGAGTTTTGCAATCTCTGTGAAAATTATTACAAAAGATGTCTTAGAAATATAAAATGCATTGGTCAGCTTATCACAAATGCAGAATGCAGGATACGGGTGGAAAGATGAATGTGGGAATGAACTTGCTGCCCCCTTTTAGATATCCGCTTAGAATTTATCAGGGAGCCTGGTCTCTGGTGCTGTAGGAGTTAATCAGTAACTTTTCCAGTTAATAGGAGATTTGTCCTTCTCTTCCAGAACTGCAGAGCACACAGCCCAACCCACACACGTATATGAATTTATGTAACACATCCCTCCCTCCTGCAGAGTCACCGGTTGAGAAATCTATAGGCTTTACAATGAATATTTAGTTAAACTATCAAACTGGACATAGGAGCAATTTTTTTAAATTAGAAAGCTTTTATTGGAAAACATTTCAAGTCCATCTCCGGGCAAATCCAAAAACTACCATTGCAGTGGGGCTATCCTGACAAATGGGGCTTGTTTATGCCTTGGGGACAGGAAAAAGCTGTTTTACTTACCTGATCCCCACTCCTGCTTGCTCCCTCAAAGCTGCTAGACTGGTCCCCTCAGCCTCTTCTCTTTTGCTCTTGCCATGTAAGAACCACTGAGGTCATCACGTCTAGTGCAGGTTCCATAGACCAGTGCTTTCAGTCAAGGCACCCTTTAAAAGTATTCAAAAGCTCGAGGCACCCCAGTCTAAAAGAATAGTGGGTTTCATCAGGGTCACCGTTCAAATCAGCAACCCCCCTTTTCAATAGGAGCCCCCTTTACATCAGAGCCTCCTGCTTTCACATCAGTGCCCCCTTCATTCACATCAGAGTTTCCCCTTCACATCACTATCCTCCCTTCTCATCAGAAGCCCCTTCTCATCAGAAGCCCCCTTCTTATCAGGAGCCCCTCTTCACATCAGGAGTCACCCTTCACATCAGGAGTCACCCTTCACATCAGGAGCCACCCTTCACATCAAAGTCCCCCCTTTCATATCAAACTCTTCCACATCAAAGTTCGACTTTTGCATCAGGAGCCCCACTTCACATCAAAAGCCCCCTTCACACTCAGACAGTCCTCCCTTCACATCAGAGTCCTAGCATCACATCAGGAGTTGCAGCTGTAGCAACATGACGAATGTCCGTGGCCACCAACACCATGGAAAGACATGATGTTATGCAAAAAGTTTAAGGCACCTCTGAGGAAGTCAGAAGGCACGCAAGGGTGCCATGGCATCCTGTTTGCGAAAGGCTGCCATAGACATAAATTATACGTGAGGATGCCAAAGGACATTCCACCAGCCGGAGCGGAAGGGAGAGAGGTGATCGCTGGTCTCCAGGGGATCGGGGGTCAGGTAAGTAAAAGTGCTTTACTCCAGTCCTCTAGGCAAAAAACAACTCTTAACCCTGCAGTACGGGGGTGTACCCATTGCATGGGTAGTTTTTTGTTTGCCTGGAGGTGGGCTGTCAGTTTTCTACAGGCTATAGTAAGGTGGACATATAGTAACGTTAGATGCACCTTCAAGTAGCAAGTGTGGATGTACAATATCCTAAGATTCAAGTGCATACATAAGAAAATGTAACAACTTCCAAGAAAAATTAAAAAAGGACATCTGTGACAAAAATAACTGCATTGCATTGAGACGAGAAAGTGCAAAACCAACATCGGTCATACGACCATATATGAGAACTTAGAAACGTACAGTATCTAGACAAATAAATATTTGTTGTGTAATATGCAGTCGATGAAACATTTGTGGCACCAATAAACTAGTTGTACCACCCTGGTCATCTTGTGTGGTTATTGTACATATGAGTTTACTGGAAATAAAGAACAGATGGAGATTCATGCTTAGCTTTGAGTATGCAATGCACATGCTACCGTGTTTCCCCGAAAATAAGTCACTGTCTTATATTTTATTTGGCTCAAAAAAACACACTAGGTCTTATTTTTGGGGTAGGTATTATTCTTGTAGAGAAGTCTACATGTATTCATGTACAAAAATATGGTGATCAGGGCAATCAGGGGTGCCGTACCTTTCCAAGAGCAATTTGCTAACCAATTGCTGGCAAGCATGAGCGAAGCGCGCTTTTACTATGGATTCCTCACAGGCGGAGTGCATTTGGTATCACTCCGCCTGTGACAGGAGGCGGGGCTATAGAGGAAGCATCGGCTTAGGCGGCTCTGCTCCCTCCGGTGCCGCCTCGCTTCCTCTAGCACTGGCTTCGTTGGCACCGCTGATTCTCTCCTGCCTCTCCCGCGGCTCTTCAAGTTCCCCCTTATGCCACCACCGGCCCTGGGAATGGTCACAACTAGGTCTTATTTTCGGGGTAGGTCTTATATTTTAGCAATTCCCAAAAATAGTACTAGGTCTTATTTTCAGGGTAGGTCTTATTTTCGGGGAAACAGGGTATGTCCATGCTACATCTACTAGGAGTTCCAATTCTAATCACAGCAGTGGTAAATGACTAGATCTATATATAGGGGGCCCATGTGTGTTCCCTAATATCACTACAAGGCCGCAAATAATATTCATCATATTTAATGCTACTGAAGACCGGGGATATCCTGCAGGTGCTGACCAGAGGCTATGGAGTTGTTACAGTTATAATCCATGACCAGGAATATGCTGCAGGATATAGCCAGAGACTGCGGACATGCTTCATTAGATGGCTAGAGATTACGGATATGCTTATCTGAGACTGTGGACATGCTACACAAGATGATTAGAGCTGGCAGACATGCTACAAGAGATGGTTAGAGACTGTGGACATCCTACAAGAGATGTTTAGAGACCGCGGCCATTCTTGAGCGGTGGTTGGAGAGTGAAGATATGCTACAAGAGAGAAGAGACAGTCAGACATGTTACTTTAGACTGCTAGAGATCACTGCAATTACAGCATCATAATAGCATATAAGCATATAATGCTCCCTAGAACCCCAAAGGCCCCATTCACACCTAGGCGTATTGTAATATGCGCATCTGTCGCGCGACCGTCGCGTGGTTTTTTTACCGCGATTCCAAAGGCTACTTGGCTGTATCCCAATGGAAAACGCCCTACAAACGGCCCAAAGTAGTCCCGGGACCTTTTCAGGCGTGGGCCGTTTTGTAGGGTGTTAGGGACGGGCGGAAATACGGCAAGGTGGGAACGAGGGCATTGACTACAATGCAATTTATATTTTTGACCGTTTTGTAGAGCGTTCGTCGAGCGTAGAACGCCCTACAAAACGGTCAGGTGTGAACGAGGCCTAAAACATTGTTGGCATATTCATTTTCCCCAAAGCGAGCTCCTTCCTCAAAGGATCAGAAAATACATAAGAAGAAAAAAAAACTAATAATTATATTTATTTCCTTCTCTGGCCAGCAGTCCTCGTCCTTGCGATGCAGATGAACCAGTATGATGCAGTAGTAGTTAGGGACTGTAGGACTGTTAAGTACATCTTCTGGTGCTGCAGAGAGCACTTTCTCTGACCTCCTCATTAGCATGGGACCTAGTGCAGACTTAGGGAAGGTGTTCCCAGACTTACATCACAGGTCACATGATGCTATAGCTGCCAAAGAAGAAGCCCAGGACTGTTCTTCCAATATGAATAAGCCTAAAGGCAGGAAAATACTGGGTGCTAGGACCTGAGGGCAGCAGAGAATGTACCAAGGGGCTGCAGGTTGGGCAATAGGGCAGTAGAGGGACTTGCTAGGTTGGACAATACAGGTGATCAAAGACTGCAGCATCAGCACCCACAGATGCAGCAGGTTGTATTAATTGAAAAGTTAACTTGTGTTTTGCCCATAAACACATACCAGAAGGCCTTTTATTGAATAGATTTGGATCTTCCTTTCAATACCTATTCTTACCAGGACAGAATTTCTGTGTAGCCAACACAGGCTGTGACCTAAGGTGGCAGGACTGCCAATGGCGGCACACAGCCCCCCACACATCATGGCTGTCAGTTAAGCTAGCCATACAATGCTCGCATTTTTTAATTCTTGCTGAATCGACTGAAAATTGGAGCTTTGTCTGGCTTTGTCGGTAGCCACCCCTCATGCTTAAAATTCCTTTTTTTTCAGTCAACGTTTGACAAAGGAGCTATCCAAAAATTCTCAACCTGATTACAGGCACTGTTTGCATATTCAGCAGCCCCTGAAGCAGCAGCAGCCCAATACACTAGCTGGCTGCAGGGATTCTTCCATCCACACTATTTAGCATGTATGGGGAAATCGATAGATTTCTCTCATTGAGCCAAATTCTCAGCATGTATGATCAGCACATGTACACCTGAATGAACAGCGTTGTCAGCATATTACAGGAAGTGTAAAAAAAGAACCGATCACAAAAGCAAAAAGTGCTGTATTTATGCTGGTGGGTCCCCAGGGCTGCACAGGAGGTACCAAGGTTATCTGTGCAGTGGCAGATACGGTCACAGTTAAGGGCTCAAGCTCACGGGCGTCTGGGGCCGTACAAGGTAAAATTCATGTGTATTTATTAGCCCAGGGCCACAGGTGCTGCATACAGCCGCCCATATAAATCAATGGTTGTAGGCGGGTAGGCGCATGTACTTGTGTA